ATTTCCTTTTATGGCTAATAATATCTTGGCATGCATGGATATACAATGCAGACATATCCCTCCATCTATTTTTCTACTGGTCAGTATTTGGGTTGTTTTCATCTTTTGCCTATGGTGATAAGTGCTGCAGTAAAGATTTGTGCAGAGTCAACCACCAAAGAGCATGCATGGGCTATACATAGACTCCTTACACAGATGCAGCAGATATGCAGCTTGGTCTTCATGTGGGTCCCCTAACAATGTGAGTAGGGACTGTTTCTGATTCCATGGCCTGCCTCTGTTTCACTTTCTCCTCGCTGAACTGCCCTGTATGGCCTCAGTGGGCGAAGATATGCTTAGTCCTTGAGACTTGAGGTGCCAGGGTGGGTTGGTACCCTTTGGAGGCCTCCCCTTCTCTGAGAAAGAGAGGGAACAATGGGAGGAGGGGAACCTGAGGGCAGGACTAATGAAGGAGAAGAGGGAGGGGGCTGGAATCAGGCCGTAAGTGATTAAATAAATAAATAAATAAAAACCTTGTAGCATATAAAGAAATTTGTGTACATATATTTGAAAGCTTTCTTTCAATTATTTTGACTACATACCTATGAATGGAATTTCTGGGTCACATAGTCACTCCATATTTAACCTTATGAGAGAAAGCATTACTATTTCGCATAGCAATCTGCTATTTTATATTCCTAGTCACATTTGGAAGAATCGTTAATGCTTGGCATTCTATAAACACTTGCCATTTTTCATTAATTCATTTGTTTATTCACTTAATGTCTTTCTTCTTGGTGGTTTTTGTGTCTAGATTTGAATCTCTTTAAATTAGTAGTAGTGCTCACGAACATTTCGTATCCTCAACAGTTAACTGTATATATTCTTTGGAGAAAAAAAAAATCATTCAAGATCTTTCCGTATTTAACAATTGTGTTAACTTTAGTTCCTGAATTACAAGAATTCATTATGTATTCTGAGCAGATGCATGAATTGAAAATATTTTCTTTTACATACATGGTATATACTCACTTATAAGTAGATTTTAGCCATATAACACAGGAAAACCATATTACATTCCACAGACCTAAATAAGCTAAATAACAAGGAAAACCCTACGGAGGATGCTTAATTCTAACTCAGAAGGAGAAATAAAAGATACCAGAAGTAGTTGAAGAGAGAGAACAGGACCAGAGCCTACTATAGATGTCCTCTGAAAGACTCCACCAAGCAAGTGATCAAAGCAGATGCTAAGACTCAGTCAAACTTTGGGCAGAGCACTGGGAGTCTTGAAGAGTCCGGGGATATAAGGACCTGGAGGAGACAGGAACTCTACAAGGAGACCAACAGAGGCAACAAATCTGGGTCCAGGGGGCTCTGCAGAGACTGCAGTGTCAACCAAGGACCATGCATGGAGAGTACCTAGATCCCCTGCTCAGATGTAGCCCATGTGGATTAGTCTCCATGTGGGTTCCCTACTAAGGGAAGTGGGGGCTATCTCTGACATAAGCTCTGATGCCTGCCCTTTGATCACTTCCTTCGAGGTGGGGTGGCCTAGCCAGGCCATAGAGAAAGAGGATGCAGGCAAATTTGATGAGACTTGATAAGCTAGGGTCAGATGGTAGGCAGTGAGGGCTCCCCCTTTCTGTGGTCTAGAGGAGGGGGATGGGGAGAAGAGGGAGGCAGGGCGGGACCAGGGGAGACAAGGAAGAGGGTTACAATTGGGATATAAAATATGTAAATGTAAATTTACTGTTTGGTTTATTTCCCTGCTAACTGTCATTCTGTCAAATTGGCCTTATATCACTTCATTATATGGTTCTCTAAAACATCAAAATAGATTGTGATATTTATTCACTTAAGTGTTTTTACAACTATAATTTTTCTGCTTGATTGTATCCTATAAACTTTATTATGCCATGTCTCACTTTCATTTCTCCCAAAGTCTTTTTAAATTTTCCCGTCATTTCTTATTTGATCCATTGGTTCAGATTGTGCTTAATGGTCAAGGTACATAGAATAAGAGACTGCCATAATGAGACAGCCATTTTACATCTTTTTCTCCCAAGGCTCAGGAATCACTGAAGAAAAGGGGCCAGGAAGACTGTAAGACTCAGTGGTGGTGGATGTATACATTAAAGCAGTGTTTTTCATACACAGTAAGGTTGTTGCACATATGCACTCACAGTTCTCGTGGTGGCTTAAGACAGACCGAATCCTAGCTTGGAGAAGGGAGGGGGCAAGAAGTCCTATCTATAGCTGAGGATATTGGCAATTGATAGCTTCTGGAAGAGAAAGAATCCATATTCCAGTGGATGCCCAAACATTAAAGAGTAGTACATGAGCAGCACAAATGGACTCAATATTTTTTTTTTAAGTATGAAGAATTGAAGTTGGGTGGGTAGGGAATGGGGTTAGATCTGGGAAGAGTTGGGGTGGAGCTGAATACAATCAAAATACATTATAAGAAATAGTCCAAGAACTAAAAAAAAGAGTGTGCTTAATTTCCCCACACTTGTGAATTTGTAGTTTTCTTTGTTTTCTTAACTTCTGGTTTTATTTCACTGCATTAAAAAAAAAGTACTTTATAAGGTTTCAATGTTTTAAATGTATCAACTTCTATGATGGTCTACTAGATTGTCTGCATTGGAAAATGTTCTACAAGCAATATGAAAAAAAACCTACATTCTTCTATTTGGGAGTAGATTGCTTAACGTGTGTCCTTTCAGACCATTTACTTCTTTTTGATCCTCTGTCTGCTTGCTCTATTCACTACTGAACATGTAGGACTAAATGTGTTTTTAAAAATCTTTTTTCATCTTATATCCCGAATGCAGTTTCCCCTCTCTCCTCCCCACCAAGCCCCCCTCCCATCCACTCCTCATTCCTCTCTCTTCAGAAAAGGGCAGGCTTCCCAGGGATAGTAATCAAATATGACATATCAAATTGCGGTAGGACTAGGCCCAAATCCTCATATCAAGACTAGACATGGCAACCCAGTAGGACAAAAAAGGTAGCAAAAGCAGGCAGAGACAAGCCCCACTCCCACTCTTAGGAGCCCCAGAAGAACCCCAAACAATAAACCATAGCATATATGCAAAGGACCTAGGAAAGACCCACACAGTTTTTATGATTGTCACATCAGTTTGTGAGCCCCTACAGGCCCTACTTAGTTGATTTTGTGGGTTGTGTAGGCTCCTACAACCCTCTTACAATCGTGTGGAAGATTCTAGGAGCTTTGTTTGATGTTTGGCTGTGGGTCTCTGCATCTGTTTCCATCAATAACTGATGGTTGTTTTGTTGTTGTTGTTGTTTTTTTTTTTTTTTTTTTTTTTTTTTTTTTTTTTTTTTTTTTTTTTTACTGTTATTGCAGAATGGAATTGTTTAGCTTTTGCTTATTTTTCAGGTTCATTTTTAAAATAGCTTTAACATATTGATCAACTAACCCTTTATTTGTTGTGGTGCTAGAGACTGAATCCAACAACCTGTTAGCTAAATGCTCTATCACAGACCCACATAAAGCACATTAACCCCTTTGTCAGTACATTTTGTATTTCTTTTTCTCTTATGTTTGACTTAACTCTCCGAAAGTAAAATCAAATACAGAGCCTCACACTTGCCAGAGAAGCACTGTATCTCTGAACCACAACCCCAGTCCCTCTCTCTCTTCCCTCCTTCCCTTCCCTTCTACTTTATGAAAGTTGCTTGTTTGAAATAGATACCCTTGCTTTCTTTTGATTATTATTTGCTTTATATATATCTATATATATCCATTTATTGTCAACTTATTCATGTCTCTGGTACTAATGCCAACTCTATTATACAGAGAGTAAATATAGATCTAATTTTAATCTATGTTGTTAATCTCGGGCTTTTATAATACATTTTCTTGAAACAGGGCCTCACTATGTAGCTATAGTACATGTGGGTTTTATGTTCACAGATATCTACCTGCCTCTTCCTACAGAGTGCCAGTAGTAAACATGGCACCACTACTCCTTGTCCCATAATACTTTAAGTGTTATTGACTTTTTTTTAATTTTTTTGAAATAAAGTCTCACTGTATTGCCTAGGTTGCTTTCAAATTTGTGGCAATCCTCCTGTCTCAAGCCTCTAGAATTTTAGGATTATAAGATGAGCGACCATGTCTAGAAATCTCAGCCTTTTAACTGGATATAATAATCCATTTATAATTTAAGCATTTAGTAGAAAAGATACTTGGCAATTTGTTCATTATTTTCTTTCTGTATTACTACCTTTCCCTGTGCTTTAATTTTTTTCTTTTGTGTTGTCTTGATCCACAAAGGAGATGATTTTAGAACAGTATTGTTTTTTTCTGTGTTAATAGCTTTGGTAAGGTCTCTACCATTGTTTCTTTCTACTTCTAAATCTAATTTGTTTTAAAGTGGTTACAGGCAATAAATGCCTGAGATGATCACTTTTCTGAACTCTTTAAAACAGTGCAAGAAACACCTGGATTCAAGAGAGCATAGCTTTAAAAAGTTGGATTAATCATTGAATTTTTCTTAGAGTTGCCTTCTAGTTTTCATTTGCTGGATACCATTATAAAATAATACAATTTCATAGAATTGAACTAGATGAGGTCTCAGAATCGAAGTGGCTTCTAGTTTTAATCAGATTCCCATTGCAGACTGTGGTTTCCTAGTCTTGAAGATACCCAAGGCTGCTGATTGCGCAAACTCCTTCAATAGCTTAGAATACCCTTCATTAATTCCTCTGAGTGAATCCCTTTTCGTTTACACTAAGCAGATCAAGGTGGTGTGTCACTGAAGTCCCAGTTACTCAAGAGAGGTGAAGGAGGATTGCTGGAGGCTAGGAGTTCAAGACCAGGTAGGGCAATACAATCAGACCTTGTCTGAAAACAAAACAAAACAACAACAAAACAGCCTAAGTTTCTTTTGAATGGAATGGTTATTTCTTTCTCCTTTGTCCTGTTCTTGTTTTGTTGGTATCTTTAGTTTCTTTTGTTTTTAACTTTGTGAAGAAACAAATATTCTTACCTTCTGGTTTGGCTGCTGTGGGAGTGTAAAGATAGACTTCCAGTAGGTCCATGCAAAGAACACAAAAATGGCATGATAGAGTATGAGGTAGATAACTGAAATTAAAAAAAAAAGGTTTATACTTTTAATCCATTTTTCAGAGTTTAAAAGAACAAAAATAAGCAATACATGTCTCACTCTTCGTCCTATTATTATGTACTTTCTGCTATTACTATGAAATGTTGACTGCTACTATTGTCCCATTCACAGACAAGAATACATGCAGAACAACAAATTTTGAACAAAAGACTTTCAGAAGTTATAGCCTTTCAAAGTTTTCATGTGATTCTGCAAGTACAGAGAGGAACTCTTTTATAATAATATATAAAACAATATTTTAGCCAGTTGCCATTATCTCTGCCACCATGGGTGCTAAAAATGCTATGAGACAATTTACACTTCATTAGAGTTTATAACATGCTTTTCCCAAAAATTATTAATTGTGTGTGTGTGTGTGTGTGTGTGTGTGTGTACATGATATAGCACACATGTGACATTCAAAGGACAACTTGTGAGAGTCAGTCCTCTCCTTCTACCATATGGGTTCCTGGGATAGAATGCAAGTTATCAGGCCTGGCTGCAAGCACCGTTACCCACTGAGCCATCTGGGCTGCCTACAATATATTTTTATATATGTTACATTATTTTATTTTCTTAATAACTTTGTTGATATAGACAACCGTATAGGGTAGGTCAGAGACAGATAGTTCATTAACCAAGGTCACACAGTCAGTAATGTGTAGCCTGACCTTAAATACAGGACTTCTGATCCTAAATCCAAAGTTCTTTTCAGTAGCTCCACTGACTACACAGTTTGCAAATTATACGTTATACCTTTGAAACAGCTGTACACATGACTCTCCTGTCTGTCTTCTCATACTTTTTGCCTTTTAAACAGCTCAGTTTTAGTATTCTCCACAGAGCATGTTACACGATGGAAAGTCACTTTAGTGTTTCACTCCAAGTCCTTGAATGGCATGGTCTTATCTCAATGCATCAAAAAGACTAAAGAGAATGAGGTAATTCAATACTAAGTTCACAAGGTCCAACCTCTCATACATCTACTCTTTCAGTCCCAGCCCTTTAATACAAGACTGGTTATGCATGAGATTATAAAACCTCATTTTAAAATTCAAGAAATGCAGCATAAAAGGCAAATGTTTACTCCACATATACATTTCATTTTTCACCTCTTCATGTCAAAGGTGTGGATCGCTCCACATGTTCTCACCGTTAAATGTTTATATAGATTCATGAACACAGTAAACATGACAGCTCAGCAATGTCTAAAAATGTAAAAAAATGTCTTTCTTGTAAAAAGATATTCACACAGTTCAAAATTTGAGGTAGGGGAAGGTATACAGTGAAATCTTTGTCTTATTCAGTTACATCCTATGTAAACAACCAAAGACATCAGATTCTATATTTGTAAAACAGCCCCAGGTGCTTTGTCAAACACAAAGAAGTAGTCAGTACACAATGTTTTGCAACATACTTTTTATTGATTATTTTATTGGGAAATTGTTTCACTTTCTATAACTTCAAAAGAGTGAACTTTTTTATTTTCTTAAGTCTCAGAGGAGAGTTTAACCCTAAATAGGATATCTATATCATAGCCCTTCCTGCCAAGGCTAAGGAACTTTCATGGAGGGAGTGCAGAAAGATTGTAAGAGCCAGAGGTTGTTGAGGACTGTTCCAAAACATTGCTTTCTGACACAACAGGGCTTTTGCACATAAGAATTCACAGTGTTACAGTTTCAGAAGATGTGTACAAGACTAAGCCATCCAAAATCCCAGCATGTACTGGGGACAGGCCCAAGAGGCTCCACTTTCCCACTTGAGGAACTACTGGCAGTTGGTGGCAGCTGGGGAAGGCAAAGTCAGCTTTCTTCAAGGATGTGATCCTTACCAAACTCTTCACACTCCAGTGGGTGGTCCTGCACCCATATACATACATAGAGGTCCTACATATTATACTGCTTCTTTAACAAAAAGAGTACAAGAAGATGGAAAAAATTGGTGGGCGGTAAAAGAAGTTGGAGGAGAGGTAGTGGGAGGGAGATTTTATCAAAACATGTTGTACACATTATAGCATTCTTTTTAAATTTTTTTTATTAATTACAGTTATTCACTTTGTATCCCTCCTGTAGCTCCCTCCTCCCCTCCCAATCCCACCCTCCCTCTCTTTTTCCCACCCGTGCCCCTCCCCAAGACCACTGATAGGGGTGGTCTTCCTCTCCTTCCTTCTGATTCTAGTCTATCAGATCTCATCAGGAGTGGCTGCATTGTCTTCCTCTGTGGCCTGGTAAGGTTGCTCCCCCCTCAGGGGGAGGTGATCAAAGAGCAGGCCAATCAGTTCATGTCAGAGACAGTCCCTGTCCTCATTACTATGAACGCACTTGGACACTGAAATGTCATGGGCTACCTCTGTGCAGGGGTTCCAGGCCATCTCCATGAGTGGTCCTTGGCTGGAGTATCTGTTAGGAAACGTGCGAATGTGAAGGTTACACGCGGGCTACAAATCATGCCACGAGATCGGTTCCACGTGGGAGGTTTATTAGGGGAAGGGGGGAGAAGGGAGCAGAGACAGAGAAAGGGAGAGAGAGCGGGAGAGAGAGGAGAACAGAGGAAGAGGAAGAGAGAGAGTCAGGAAGCAGAAGAGGAAGAAGAGAGAGAGGGAGCAGAAGAGGGAGAAGAGAGAGAGGGGGGAGGGTTCCAGTTCTCTTATAGGGTGATCAAGGGCATGCGCAGGTAATTCCAGGTGGTCAGGGTGTCTTTACAAATGCCTGATAACCGGTCTATCAGGTCCCTTGGAGCTGGCCATAGAAGTGCCTGCTTACTGATCCCAACATTATCAGTCTCAGAAAAGACCCCCGTGTCCAGATTTTTTGGATCTGCTGCTCTCCTTGTGGAGCTCCTGTCCTCTCCAGGTTTTCCTATCTCCCACTTTTTTCATAAGAATCCGTGCACTCTGCCCAAAGATTGGCTATGAGTCTCAGCATCGCCTTGTTACATTACAGGGTAGAGCATTGCAGAAGCCCTCTGTGGTAGGCTCCTGTCCTGTTCCCTGTTTTCTCCCTCCTCCAATGTACATCCTCTTTGCCTTTATGACTGGGGATTGAGCATCTTAGCCAGAGTCCTCCTTCTTGATTAGCTTCCTTAGGTGTACAGATTTTAGTAAGTTTATCCTATATTATATGTCTAATATCCACTTATGAATGAGTATATACCTTGTGTGTCTTTCTGCTTCTGGGATACCTCACTCAGGATGATCTTTTCCAGTCCCCACCATTTACCTGCAAATTTCATGATTTCCTTGTTTTTAATTGCTGAGTAGTATTCCATTATGTAAATGTTCCACAATTTCTGTATCCATTCAACTGAGGGGCATCTGGGCTATTTCCAGATTCTGGCTATTACAAATAAAGCTGCTACAAACATGGTTGAGCAAATGTTCTTGTTGTATATTTGAGTGTCTTTTGGATATATGCCTAGGAGTGGTATAGCTGGATCTTGAGGAAGCGCTATTCCTAATTGTCTGAGAAAGCACCAGATTGATTTCCAAAGTGGTTGTACAAGTTTACATTCCCACCAGCAGTGGAGGAGGGTTCCCCTTTCTCTGCAACCTCTCCAGCATGTGTTGTCACTTGAGTTTTTCATCTTGTGTAAGGTTTAAGGTGAAATCACAAGGTCGTTTTGATTTGCATTTGCCTTATGATTAAGGACGTTGAACATTTCTTTAAGTGTTTCTCTGTCATTTGATATTCCTCTATTTAGAACTATCTGTTTAATCTGTACCTCATTGTAATTGGATTACTTGATTTGCTGCTGTTTAACTTCTTGAGTTATTTATAAATTCTGGATATTAGCCCTCTGTCAGATATAGGGTTGGTGAAGATCCTTTCCAAGTCTGTAGGCAGTTGTTTTGTATTGACGACAGTGTCCTTTGCTTTACAGAAGCTTTTCAGTTTCATGAGGTCCTATTTATTAATTGTTGCTTGTAGAGCCTGTGCTGTTGGTATTCTGTTCAGGAAGTTGTCTCCTGTGCCAATGAGTTCTGGGCTCTTACCTACTTTTTCTTCTAACAGGTTTAGTGTGTCTGGTTTTATGTTGAGGTCTTTGATCCACTTGGACTTTAGTTTTGTGCAGGGTGATTAAGTATGGATCTATTTGCATTTTTCTACACATAGACATCCAGTTAGACCAGCACCATTTGTTGAAGATGCTATCTTTTCCATTGTATGGGTTTGGCATCTTTGTAAAAAATCAGGTGTCCATAAGTTTGTGGATTTATTTCAGGGTCTTCTATTCGATTCCATTGATCCACCATTCTGTTTCTATGCCAGTACCATGCAGTTTTTAGTATTGTTGCTCTATAGTACAGCTTGAGATCAGGGATGGAGATACCTCCAGAAGATCTTTTATTGTAGAGGATTGTTCTAGCAATTCTCAGTTTCTTGTTATTCCATACGAAGTTGAGAATTTTTCTTTCCAGGTCTGTAAAGAATTGTGTTGGCAATTTGATGGGAATTGCATTAAATCTGTAGATTGCTTTTGGTAAGATGGCCATTTTTACTATGTTAATCCTGCCAAGCCATGAGCATGGGAGATCTTCTGATATCTTCTTCTAATTCTTTCTCCAGAGACTTGAATTTTTTTTTCATACAAGTCTTTGACTTGCTTGGTTAGGTTCACACCAAGGTACTTTATGTCCTTTGTGGCTATTGTGAAGGGTGTTGTTTCTCTAATTTCTTTCTCAGCCCTTTTGTCTTTTGTATACAGGAGGGCTACTGATTTTTTTGAGTTAATTTTGTATTCAGCCACTTTACTGAAGATGTTTATCAGTTGTAGGAGTTCCCTGGTAGAAATTTTGGGGTCACTCAGGTATACTATCTTATCATCTGCAAATAGTGATACTTTGACTTCTTTCTTTCCAATTTGTATTCCCTTGATCTCCTTTAGTTGTCTTATTGCTCTAGCAAGGACTTCAAGAACTATGTTGAAGAGATATGGAGAGAGTGGGCAGCCTTGCCTTGTCCCTGAGCATTATAACATT